ACTCTGGCAAAATCTACAAGCTCATATTATAATGATTCAGATTTGCTCTAATCTAGCCTCATGGCCATCAGAGAAACTAAATTATAGGAGACATTATTTGACAAAATAGAAAGTGTATTTTAGGCATTGTAAATCTAACCAGTGTGATGATATATTGTGATTTTTTCACATGTTCTTATTTATGCTTTTTCACTCCTAAAAATTGGGTTTTGCAATTGCTAAACCAGAGGAGTTTAGGAAAGCATACTGGAATACATCATAGAAACATTCAAATTTATATGAAATTTCATTTACTCCCTCAAGGTCCAACATCAAGTTTAAACATGTGCACCTGCACCATAGTGCTCTAGCCAGAATCTGAACCCTATTCAAATATATCTGCTTCCTAATGATGTCTTAGCAATTTTAAAATTTATTAATCTATTTGGTGGCCTTGATTAACATATTTAAATTTTAAACTCCAATGAATCCCTGAAAGCTCATAAACGCAAGCAACATAATGGCAGCATCACTTAGCTTCACAATTATTGAGGAAGAATGAGAAGTGAGAAAGAAGTTGTAAGTGTAATGACTCTTTCAAAAAACTTGGTGGTAGAAGGAATATAAATAAGAGTAAAAACATATCAATTATATCACAATTTTTTAAAGAAGAGCAATATTGATGGAAAACCTGAATTGCATGAAGCTGCTTAACTGAAGTATATTTTAACTTTGTAATCACACTCATACAAAGAGTCAAAATACTAGTATAGTGGTTAAGACGGTAGAGACTTCAGCATATTTAAAGGCTGAAGGATGGAGTCATTACAGAGGAAGCTGAAAAATAGAGCCAAGTAAGTGGAGAGATTAACCTGAGAGTGAAGACACGCTTCCTCGTCAATAGTACTAGGAGATGCAGGGGCTATAAATGTGACAGCAGGAAATTGAGGGCTTCTTTGTGAAGCAGTGGGGTGGTGAGCTTAGGTGAAGCAGAGAAGCTTTGGAAGGTTGACTATGGAGCTGCCTTTAGATGTAGCTGAATATTCTTATCATAGTGTTGAAAACTCTTCATAATGCAGACCCCACCTACATCCTCATCTTCACTGGTTCACATTCTCACACCCAACCAAACTTTCATTCCAACCACACGGATCCAGAGTCCCTCGGATCTTTCTATGATGCTGTTAGTTCTTGCAGAGACCTCTGTCTGGAACACTTTTATCCTCATCCCCATGCAAGCATCTCTCATCCTTTCAGAATTGGTTCCCGTCACCCAACATTCCTTTAGGCCCCTCCCCCTTTTCCTCAGCTGCCCTTTACCCTGAGCCTGGTTAGGTGTCTTCCTCTGAATATGTCTTCATTTTAGCATTTTTATGATAAATTTTATTTTAATTACTTATTTATTATTTTTGTTAATCCTCACCTGAGAATATTTTCCCATTAATTTTTAGAGAGAGTGGAAGAGAGGGGGAGAGGGAAACATTGATGTGAAAGAGACACATTGATTGGCTGCCTCCCACAAGCACCCCAACCAGGGGTACGTGCCCTTGACCAGAATCAAACCTGAGACACTTCAGTCCTCAGGCCAATGCTCTATCCACTCAGCCAAACTGGCTAGGATTTTTTTTTTTAAAGTTTAGTTTAGAAAGAAAGAGAGAGGTTGATTCTTATATGTGCCCAGACTGGGGATCGAACCCACAATCTTGGCATATCGGGAAAATACTCTAACCAACTGAGCTACCTGGCCAGGGCTCATTAGGAATTTTAAACACTGACTTTCTCATTTCTTCCAATAGTCAGAAACTGTTTTTTATTTTGTTGTTTTATTTTCTTAAAATACGTTTTTTATTGATTTTAAAGAGAGAGGAAGGGAGAGGGAGAAAGAGATAGAAACATCAATGGGAGATCGGCTGCCTTCCATATGCCCCAGGGGGGTGGAGCCTGCAACCTGGGCATGTGCCCTGATCAGGAATTGAACTCGTGACCTTTTGGTTCATGGGTCGATGCTCAACCACTGAGCCACCCTGGCTGGGCAGTCAGAAACTGTTCTTTTAATTTCTGGGCCTGGCACAATGAAAAATATCCACTGAATGAATGGCAGATGACTATGTTAGAGTTCTCAGTACTTATATTTTACCCAGAAAAACAGATTATCTTTACAAATGGAGAAACTAAGACAGGAAGGAGTATACCAATAGTAACGTTAGCAGAACAAAAATTAACGAAAAAAATAACTTAGGTGAAATAATCCTTCACCTGTAGTAATTGAACAAATGAACCTCTGATACAGTGGTTCTCAACCTGGGCTGCACATTAATCACCTGGGAATCTTTTTAAAATCCTGATTTCTGGGCCTCATCCTCCGGAAGCTCTGTTTCTTTGTTACTAATGTTGTGGCCCCACCCCATAACTAAGAAACAGAATTTCCGGAGGATGAGGCCCAGGAATCAGGATTTTAAAAAGATTTCCAGGTGATCCTAATGTGCAGCCAAGTTGAGAACCACTGCTCAAATAAATCGTAACAAGTAAATATTCTCTGAACACAAACATCAAGTTCCCAATTTTGTACCACAGAGGGTTTAGCTTTTCTGATTTAAGAATTCAAAAGCAGCCCTAACCGGTTTGGCTCAGTGGATAGAGAGAGCGTCAGCCTGCGGACTCAAAGGTCCCAGGTTCAATTCTGGTCAAGGGCATGTACCTTGATTGCAGGCACATCCTCAGTAGCGGGTGTGCAGGAGGCAGCTGATCGATGCTTCTCTCTCATCGATGTTTCTAACTATCCCTCTCCCCTCCTCTCTGTAAAAAATCAATAAAATATATATATTTTAAAAAACCTATTAGAGGTACATGCAAGAGTTTTCTTTCACTTATAAAAAGCCTCATTTATAGCTGGCCATGTCATAATTGGCTAACACTTTTGCACAGATTTAACTAGGTGGGTCCTTTTCCATCAGAAACCAAAAAAGGACCTAACGCTGCCCAGGTTAACCCCCCTGGGATGACAAACTTGTTCTTCTTGAATGTCTTCTACTTCACACTACGCTTTGGGCCTCCCAAGGCACTGGTTCATGTTCCATCCTCACGCAGAGGCAGCAATATTGTAGTAAAAGAAGAATGAGTCCAAAGGCCAAAGTTCAACTGGGGGCTAGCTCTCTATGCAAACAGCCTCCCCTTCTATGGGGAAGGTTTGCTTCACTGCCCAGCCAATTCCTGTTATTGGGGAGAACTGGAGAGAAAAAGAGTGAGGAACTAATTACTGATTGTAATTAAGGCTAATTCAAAAAAGCGGGAGTAGGAAAGAAAAGGAAGCAAATAACTTCTGGTTAATGTTTAGAAATCCCCTAAGATATGGTATCTTTCTCTTGACAGTTCAAAAAGCTTCAGAGAAATAACATTCTTATGAAACAAGGATAAGATTAGCTTGTTACCTTTGGAAAAACTAGTGCTGGCTTGGGTTTATACAAAGTTTTAGGACCCAGAGCTTCCTTAAATTACTTAATGGGGAAAACCATGCATGAACCAGCCCAGGGCAAGCTGGAGTTCCTGAATTAGAGTCATGCCCATCGGAGAACAGATAGGAAATGACTACAGGAGAAAAAAACAAACACACACAAACAAAGAAAGGTCACTTCATATGGTTTCAAACCAAATAAACCCCCAACCCTAACCAAGGCAAAGGAGAACTGCCTTTTCCACAGAATACGCCAGCGTGTGGCTTTGATGTTTATTTCCCCATGGTTACCCTTGATGCTCATTTTAATCCCAAAATGAAAAGTGCTATTTTGTGACACAGCCAGCCTCTAGACAACGCTCGGCACTGTATCATAATGCTTCCACATAAAATGCTTCCTTTAGGGGATGAGGTCATTTCCTGGAATAATTCAATCTAACAGTTAATTTTGGTAAAAGCTGCATCATGAAGACAGCCTTGTCGTCAGAGACTTGGGTCTGATTCCTGCCCCTACTCATTAGCTGGGTTATTTATTCAAGCAAGTCATAATTTCTGGGTCTTCGTTTCCTCATCTTCAAAATACAACTAATAACTAGTTTGTAGGTCTCTGGTAAGAGCATGAGATAAATTATATAAAGGTGGGCACACTATACACACTGGGTAATAGCTCTTATTTACACGAGTTCCTACTAAATATAGATGCTGAGTTGGGCTTTGTGAAGATACAGGCGAATGTTCTTCCAGCTGCAAATGGTAAAATTCCTAAATGTGCTGAATTTTCAAAATTCTTTTTATGCATCACTTCTTTTTGGCCCCTGAGAAACACAGGGGCAAGCAATTGAAATAACTAAGGTTTTGGAAGTACCTTACGGTTTATAAAATGTTGAAGGGCCGCCCTAGTGGGCTTGGCTCAGTGGATAGAGAGTCAGCCTGCGGGCTGGAGGGTCCCAGATTCCATTCTGTCAAGGGCATGTACCTTGGTTATGGGCTTGATTCCCCAGTAGGGGGCGTGCAAGAGGCAGCCAATCAATGATTCTCAGCATTGACGCTTCTCCTCTTTCCACCATCGGTCGGCGGGGCCATCATGGAGCGCATGAATGTCCTGGCTGATGCTCGGAAGAGGATCAACAATGCCGAAAAGAGAGGCAAGAGCCAGGTTCTCATCAGGCCGTGCTCCAAAGTCACCGTCCGGTTTCTGACTGTGCTGATGAAGCATGGTTACATTGGCGAATTTGAAATTATTGATGACCACAGAGCTGGGAAAATTGTTGTGAACCTCACAGGCAGGTTGAACAAGTGTGGAGTAATCAGCCCCAGATTTGATGTGCAACTAAAAGAGCTAGAAAAATGGCAGAACAACTTGCGTCCGTCCCGTCCATTTGGTTTCATTGTACTGACAACCTCAGCGGGCATCATGGACCATGAAGAAGCAAGACGAAAACACACAGGAGGGAAAATCCTGGGATTCTTTTTCTAGGGGTGTGATATATATGTGGAAATAAAATGCCTCAAAGGACAAAAAAAAACAACCAAAAAACCCAAACTGACATAGATAAGAGAACCCAAGCACCTGAGCAAGCACCGCGGTGAGCTTTTCGCGGCCTCCTGGCCTCATTAAAGTGCCGCGGGGGCTGTTTCCGGTCGGGGTGCTCCCCGGGTTGGACTCCCCGCTCGCCGATACCACTTGGCGGAGATTAGCACTTGGCCTCCACGCCCGCACTGCGAGGGCCACTGTGGGCCATTTCTGGCCTCCGAACGTCGAGGGCCACTAAGTGTAGAGAGGCGCCCCTCTGCTCTTCCTCTGCGAACCCCATCCTCCAGGGCCGCCGTGTCCTCGCGGCGAGCAGAGCTCACACGCTTTTCCCGCCCTCGGCGTCCGCAGGCCCCGCCTGCGACCTCGGGGGTCGCCGCGCGCTGGAGTCCGCAGG